GCTTTTAGCATTTCTTGTAAGGTGGGTCTTTAGTAATAAACTCTCCCACTTTTTGTTTATTCGAGAGTCTTTATCTCTTCATTTCTGAAGGACAGTTTTGTTAGATATAGTATTTTTGGTTGGTACTTAAAAAATATTTTGAATATATTATCTCACTCTCTCCTGGCCTGAAAGGTTTCTGCTGAGAAATCTGCTGATAGTCTCATGAAGTCTCCTTTGTATATGGCAAGAGGCATTTCTCCTGCTGCTTTTGAAATTCTGTCTTTGACTTTTGACGATTTAATTGCAATGTGTCTTGGTGTAGACCTTTTTGTGTTCAACCTATTTGGGAACATCTGGGCCTCATGAAACTGGATGTTCATATCTCTCCTCAAATTTGGGAAGTTTTTCAGCCATGTCAGTAAAATTTTCATTCCTTTCTCTCTTCTCTTTCTTAGACTCCCATAAAGCTGTGTTGTTTTACTTGATAGTGTCCCATAAGTCCTGTAGGCTTTATTCATTTTTTTTTGCTTCTGTGACTGAGTAATTTCAAACAACTTGTCTTTGAAGTCACTAATTCTTCTGCTTGATCAAGCCTGCTGTTGAAGAGCTCTATTGAATTTTTCAGTTCAGACATTGTAGTCTTCAGCTCTAGGATTTCTGTTTGGGTTTTTATGGTTTATATCTATTTGTTGAACTTGTTATTTTGTTCATGTATTGTTTTCCTATTTCATGGAGTCATATGTGTTTTCTTGCAGTTCACTGAACTTCTTTGAGAAGATTATTCTGAAATTCTTTGTTAGTCAGTACATAGATCTACATTTTTTAGGATCAGTTATTAAAGTCTTTAATTTCCTTTGGTGGTGTCATAAAAAATTCACTTTAAATATAAAGACACAAGTAAGTTAGAAAGGCCAATGTGGTAGTCATAGAAGCTGAAATCTGTTGGAGGCTCTTATAGTGGAAAAGAATCAGGATTAAGCTAAGATAATGGTAGTGGAAATGGACAGAAAGAATTAGGGATTAAAGGTATTAAAGAGGTAGAAGCTACAGGACCTGGTAACTAGTCATGAGATTGAGAGAGGGGGAGGTGACAGGATAGACTTTTTGGCTTCTGACTTGGGTCACCACTTTGGGATAGTGCTGTTCCTTGACATGATGCATATAATGAGAAGTATGCTGGGTTTGTAATGCCGATGTAATCTGAACTAACATTGGAAGTGGAGTATGTAACTGTCTCTATGCCCTTCCTAGGGTCTGCTTTTTGTTGAACTTATCTCCCAATCCAGATCCTTCCCACTCATTTTAGGCCTCTTGCTAACCTGCACAAGAAGCTTTCTTTGCTGTGCCCAGCCCTGACTCAGTCCTGGGTGTCACTCTGGAATACCCAGGTGGTTTCTAGATGCCTCGGAACACCTGGTACACTTAGGCTGGCCCATTTACTGCCCCCAGTGGCCACTGGTTGTATTACATTAGGAGAGACAAAGCTGCTACTGTCCAACAGGGTGGATTTGCCTTGTGTGGTGGGGAGAAGAAGAAGGGAACTGCAGAGGATCAAATGGCTGGCTAGTCAGCCTGCCTGTTTGCATTGTTGTGCAGTGAGATGAAAATAATTTTTAATCAGCTGGTATAGTTACTTTTAGGGAAGGAACTGTCTTTGTTTATGAAAATATTTTTTAGACTACTTTGAGTGCAGAATGAGACAAATGAAGAGCTGTCTCCAAGTAAAAAGCCAATGGAAATATGTAGGGAGGAGAGGGGAGAGGAAAGAGAGAGGAAGAGAGAGAGCTGAACAGGACTGGGAGTTGAGTGAGGCAGGCAATGTCCAGGGAGCAAAATTTAAGGAGGTGCTCACTCTCAGGCTCACACAAGTGCAGGGTTGGCTCCTGAGTGTGTGAGTGCCTCCTTCAATTTTGTGCCCTGTGTGCCTGGCTTGTCTCCCCCTAGTTCCAGTCTTGGAGTTGAGAAAAACATCAGGAGGCTACTCCTTGCAGGGAAATGCAGCCAGGAAAAATCTCCCGATAGTAGGGGACAAAGGACTTTGAAGAAAAAAGGGGTCTCATTATCAACTTCTAATTTGTTTGCTGTACAATTCTGTGATGTAATTCTTTCCCCCTGTTGCCTCCAAGTCTTCACCAAAGCTGCTTGTACACAAAGTCTTCATGCGAGAGGTTTGGGGAGAAATCAAAGAAACAGACCCATTCTGTGTCTGGGTTGGCACGGAGCAGGGAGAAGAGGGCATCCACTGGAAGCAAGATCTGCAGGAGCTCAAGGGCCCAGCAGGACCAGGACTTTGGAGCCAGACATGACACTGGCAGTCGCAGAAAACTTGGGAAAGATATGGGGCTTCTGATAGGACATAGCCCAATTTAGTTTTATTTTTTAAATAAACTTCATTTTGGAATAATTATGGATTTACCAAAAAATTTTTAAAAGGCAAAGAAAATAAAGTATCTTGTACACCCTTCACCCGGTTTCCCTGAATGTTAACATCTTCTATAGCTATGGTACATTTTTCAAAACTAAGAGATTAACATTGGCACATTACAGAGGTTTTTTGGATTTCACCAGTTTTTCCACTAAGGTGCTATTCTAGGATTCAATTCAGGATCCTGCATGGCATTTAGGCTCAATTGTATTTAAATCTGAATTTAAATCTGACGGCAAGTTACACAGTTACAAGTGACTGCAGTTTGTTTATTAAATGGCTTTGGTGTATTAAAAAGAAGGGGGAAAAAACGATTTTTTCTTGGGCACGATGGGGGCAATTTGTATAAGAGAACTGGAAGCCCCTGCATGAAGGCTCTTGCCCACTTTTCCCCTGGTCTAATTGGAATCCCTTCCAGATTTCTCTTTTACTATACACCTCTGTCTCAAGAAGCCAGACACAAATAATGCATCTGTTTTTCCAACACCATAGAACAGCCCACCTGAAATTATAGCAAAAATTTTCTTGGAAATAGCCAATAGCATTTATTGAATACCTCCTCTATGTCAGGCTAAGTGCTTTACACACATCATCTCACTAAAGCCTCACAACTAC